GCTCATGCGATACTTGGATGACTACTTTGTAATTTGGTCACATGGTAAGGAAAATCTAAATAAATTCCTCATTTGTATTAACCAACTTGACAAAAGAATTAAATTCAAAATGGAGGTGGAGGAGAATGAACTGCTACCCTTTCTGGGTATTAAAGTCATACGCTTCAAGGGGACACTCATGAAGAGAATATGCAGAAAGAATTCATATGCAGGAAGAATCCTCAATTTTTAGTCCCATCATGACTGCAGAGTAAAGATCGGGATACTGAGGGGTTTGATGATCAGAAGCTTACGACTAATCGACAATGTGTTCTGGTACGAAGAGTTGGACAAACTAACACGGATTTGTCTAAGTAATGGATACTCTAGAGATTATAAAGGGCTGATTTCAACTTGGATTTTATGAAAATCAGATCGGAAATTCCGATGACAACCAAAAGTGGATTTGCTTGCCCTCATTACAACTGAGCCAACAATGACGACAGTTACTAAGGAAGTAGATCATAAGGACGAGAACAAAGGACAAGAAAACAATTTTCACCTGTCTGCCCACGCAACACGAGAAGACTGACAAACTTAAACTGTGAGAAGTAGTATATCGGTGAAACGTGAATAAAAATCGGCCTACGAATCAGGGAACATCAAAGACTCTGTAGGAACATAAATACACAAAGATCAGAAATAGCGGGACACATTCGACGGACGGGGCATGAAATCGACCGATAGGTTGGCTTGATATGGTGAAAATACAAGAAAAGGCAAGATCTGAGAGGCCATTGATATACTGACTGAGATAAATCTAATAAACCGGAGACTTGAAGAAGGCAGCGAAAACTTTACATATTGCCTAAACAAACTAGAAGAATACCAGGCAACAGTAAGATCAGCAAAAATAAGACGACTGGATCAAGTTAATATTCTTAATATTAGGAGAAGAGATCGCAAAAGGATGTGAAAGCAACAATGAGAAGCAAAGAGGAGACATCTTTAGTAAGCCTCTTCAAAACAAGTAGAACCACGATACTTGTGGATTGGCACACACGAGACTAGGAGGTATAAAGCGATGAACATGTTATTTCAAATAGAAACAGGAAAGACTAAAGCTATGTGGCTAAAAATAGAGGTGTTTGATCTTGGACGTGATCCTTTAATCACAACTATTTTTAACTAACACGATCTAACTTACACTGCTTCTATCCGCTTTCTATCTATAATACCAAGTCTATGACTTGCTATGTCCTAGTCCATTGAATGCCAACCCACAAACTTTGTGGTTCAACATTGAACCTAAACAGAGCCAGCAGTACCACAACATTTGTGGGTTGGCACAAAAGCAACTAGGGCATGACAAGTCATATACTTTGTATTAGGAATGGAGACAGGTTAGACGAGGCGGCGAGTAGAGCTAGTTGGCTGAGAGTAGGTTTTACAAGAGATGTGGTACATGTAGAATAGGCATGAACATAAGACTTACTCAGAGGCTTTAGTTTCGAATTAGTCACCCAGGTGTAGGGCATGGACGAATAACGCCTCGAATGGCACAAATTGGAGGAAAGGCAGGGGTCGAGTGAAAAAGATGTACCAGGGAGATAGCAGACAGATTCGACGGGGCAAGAGGAAGAATTTGATAGGACACTGGGAAGGACTACGTAAAAATATGACAGACTCTGGTCAACATTATCAGCACAAGGGTGAAGGGTTTTCATGAATTCCGCTCAAAGCAGCACCCCATATTACTTCGAAATAAGTAATTAAAAATTAAAAGATTGCAACAGCGTAGTCGTGATAGGAGGATATAAGAAATATGAATAGACCAGGGCAGAAGGGGAGATACCATAACTGTTTAGCACACGTTTGTTCAAAGGGTAGGCTTCACTTTTCCCTTTGACGAGTTGTAATATGGTGCTACGAATGGCGAGACTCACTGACGATGCCGAATAGGATGCCGGCGAAATGTCTGGG